TCACACAGAGAGATTTACAAAACATTACAGAGGTTTACAAACACCCTTATTACAAACATTGTTCGGAAATTATCATTTTTTTTTTTTTTTTTTTGTTGGAATTTAATGAATTTTTTTCCTTTTCTCTTCATTCATTCATTAAATGAAATGGAGAAAAAAATTTACGGAAATAAAACATTTTATTTTTCCAACCAATCAATCAATCAATCAATCGATCAATACGATTCGATTCGATTCAATGAAAAATCGAAATCAAATTGATTTTCGATTCAAAATTGATTAATTAATTTTCAAAAAAAATGTTTTTTAATGACTTTTCAAAACTGCAAAACGGCAAAATCAAAATATTCAAAATTTTAATTTAATTTGAATAATTTTGTTTTTTTTTTTTGGTTTTGTTTTCTCAATTCAACGGAACAAAAATGAAATGAAATATTTCATGTTTTGAATGGAGAGAAATTCCATTCGCCAAACAACAACAACAACAAAATGAAATGAAATAAAAAGTATGCCATTATCTTTTTGCACGAAATTCTTGAATTATGATGATGATGATGGGCAAACAGAAAACGAGAAATGAGAAGAAGAAAAAGAAAAAACTTTTTATTTTGCCTATTATCTCGGTCTCGGTGTGTGTGTGTTGGTGAATATCTCCCCTCTTCATCTTTATCATTCGAATGATATTTATACATTGAAAGTATTTTTTTTTTTGATAATAATTTTTTCCAAAATAAAATACTTTTAATGTATGAACAAAAAAAATTAAAATATTTTCTAAAGAATCATTCATTTTTATTTATTTATTTCATCGTCATTAGATTAAGTCAAAATTTTTTTTATTATTATTCTTCTTCTGTCGCTGCTGCTGCTGCTGTCATTATAATTTTTTTTATTACTACAATTTCTATGGAAAAACGATTGCCTGGAACACATACACACACTAATCAACCAACAGACAACTATACACGCAAAACTCTAAACAAGCAGATTTTATTTTGTTTCTCGGGGATTGTTGTTTGAACGAAATATTGTCTCTACCGTTTCACGAGAACCTCGACTATACCGATATATTATTCAATAATGCGCGCGTGCTTATTTCATGAAATAAATGAAGGGAGAAAAGAAGAATTCTTTGGAAAATGAATAATAATTGAAAAGAAAGGGATAAATTTTGACAAATTTTTCAAATCAACTGAAAAATGAATGAATGAATGAAAAACTGCGAAATATTCATTTCAACGACGACTACGATGTTGATAATGAAATGTTATCGTTTTTTTTCGTTTGCTTGTAATTAATTAAATGAATAAATTATAAATTAAAAAATGTGTTAGAAATAGGAAAACAACAACAACAAAAATGTTATAACATTAATGAAATTCATCAAAATTCAATTACATCATCATCATTATCATTTTCATCATTTTGAATAATAATGAGATCTTAATTTATTTTTTCTCTCGTTGTCGTTGTTGTTGTTTTTTTTCTTGTGTTTCATAATTACCGACAAACAAACAAACAAACCGAAAACAACAACAACACGAGGAAAACATCCATTGACAAAAAAAGCATATTCTTGAAGAACTTGAACTTTATTTTTTGTTGTTGTCGTCGCTGTTTCCTACTCTAATTAGACATTTCCTTCTTTTTTTTTCTTCAAAATTCTTCATTCGGTGGTATGTTAGTGTTAAATGAAATGAATAGTGTAACATTTTGTGTTTTTTCGGGGTTAAAAAAAATTACAAAAAAAATAATCTTGGTTTCCTATGGTTTTTTCCTTGTGTTTCTTTTGGCTGATTACAATATGGAATTCGGCAAATAAGGTTCTGGAATTTTTTTCACACATTTGAATGAGAAAAAAAATGTTGTTGTTGGTTTTTCTTTTCACCAAATAGAGTTTGACATAATTTCAAAGAGTTTGAAAACAAAAATTTGTGACAAAATTTTCATTGGAAATCGGTAGAGAGAGAGATTTCGTACATCAATATATTTCATGCGACGAAAGGAAACAAACAGACAAAAACACCAACCATAATCTTGCCGATTTTCAATTATTCAATGAGAAAAAAAGAAATTGTGTAAATCAAACAACAACAACACCCGAATCTTAGATCGTTTTTTCTGTTCTACAAAAATTGTCGTCATAATATGCATGTGTGATCAACTCTACAAAATGATCAATATCAAAAAAAAAAAACGAGAAGAAAAGGGGAACAAAATCAACTAAATAAAAAAAAACAAAGAAAATTTATGGGAAAACAAAAATTTCGGGAATAATTCTCAATAAACTTTTTTCTAAGGAAAAAAAAATGAAATTCATAGATAATCAAAAGGACTGAATCAAAAAAAAAAACTGAATCTTCTTTTTGGAATTCAATGGAAAAACAGAAAATAAGGCAATGCTAATAAAAAGTTTTACTCTTTCTTTCGTTTTCTCTCTCTCTCTCTCTCTCTCTCTCTCTCTTGCATTTTCTAATTTAATTTTCAAATTTTTTTTCATTTCAATCTTACAACATTTTCAATGTTAAAATCATCATCATTTTTTTCAAGTTTTCAAGATCCTAAATGGATGTTTTTTCTCTTCTCTTCTCTCTTCTTTACTGGGTTATCATTATTGCTGATCGAAAATAGAAAATAAAGAAAAAAAATAAAAATAGCGATCACATGGTTACCGTTAACATTTATTTAGTGCAAGCTTATTATCATCATGATGGTAGCAATGTGATATTTTTTTTTAGTTCCTCGGTTCGATATGATATATTAAATCAAAATGACAATACTACACAGTATCAGTATCACTGCATAGACCCAAACATTGACATTTAAAAAAAAAAAATCCAACCAAACAAAAATTCAATTTTTCATTCAAAACAAAGATGAAAAATAAAAAATTTTGTGAAAGAATTTTGTGTGTGTAATTTAATCAATTAATTGTAATTTATTTTAGACAAAAAAACTAATTACAAATTAATTACAAAAACAAAAATTACAAGATAACAAGATGTTTATTTATTCTTTTGTCAATCAAATTTTTATTTTTCAGTAAAAACGTACATTTGAAAAAAAATATATGGTTCATTACAAATGGCCAGGACACAACAAAAAAAAACGAAAACGATATATTTACACACACACACCAAACCAAACCAAAGATATTGGAAGAAATAAAAAAAATGGACAATATCATCATCATGTTGTTGTTGTTGTTTTGCTGATTATTCAATTCAGTGTAGCATACTTTAAACAACAACAACAACGACCATCATTTCAGTTCAGTTCGGGTTCGGGTTCAATTCGTATACCAGTTCATCATCATCATCATTCTTGAACAGTTCAATTCAGTTCAGCCGTATATTTCGTTTGTTGTCGTTTGTTGTTATTGCTACTTATTATTTACCAAACACACATATTATATATAAATGAAAATAGCTAGAATGAATGAATGAATGAATGAAAATGAAAAAATAAAAATGAATGAACCAAATAATAATAATAAAAAAACATTTAATATTATAATATTGTGTGTGTGTGTGTGTTTGGTACATATAGTTTTCATGTTTATGTGTTTGTGTGTGTGTGTATGGCAAACATAATAACTTTTTTTATTATTATTACTGGATGGATGGATATATGTTTTTCATCATTCTTTTTTAGTTTCATTGATTTTTTTCCATTGCTCTTTTTACCAACTAAAAGATTGGTAGAAGGAAGAAGAAGAAGAACACGATGGATGATAATAATAACATTAGCCACGATTAAGTGAGTGTGAGAGAAAAAACTAAAATAAAATAAAATTTACAAAGGAAATTTGATTATTATTACAAATTTGAAAATAATAACAATATTTTTTTTGTAGTAATTTATAAATTATAATTAAATTTTACAAATTTTACATCATTTTTTTTTTACAAAGAATTATCAAATTTATTCAATGAAACTTTCTTCCTCCCCCCGGTATATCATTGAAGTTACACACAAACACAGCGATGCATCATTTCATTTCAATTCAATATTTTTTTTTCACAAGAATCAAATAAAAAATAAAAAGATCAAGCCAAATGTAATGTTATTCTTTTCATTTCATTTCATTTCATTCACTTCTGGTCCCTGAATTTTTTTTCCCTGTCTGTCTCTGCATGTGTATGTATGTTGTAAATAAAAGCGAACAATTTTTTTTCATGTATTTTTTCATTCATTCAATGATTGCATACAGCAATGAAGAAGAACAGGAGAGAGGGGAGATGCTGTCGTGAAGATTGGTTTTAGTTTCACCAAAACAAAATATCATATCAGGACTTTTATTCAATTTCTTTTTCTTTTCTCAATGTATGAAACACACACACATATCATCAGGCAAGCAATATTTTCTTCTTTTACTATATAAAATATATATATCTGCTGGTTAGACAACGAATAAATGTGTGTATATAATAATAGTGAATGAGTGAGAGAGAGAAGCGAATCGACTAAAGCAAATCGAAGCAAAAGTAAAAAAAAAAATAACATTAATCACTCTCGATTATATTTATTGATGATTATCGTATCGTTATTTATATTTTAGATGATTTTTTTCATTTCACTATCAATGAATGTATCAATAGACAATCTTTTCTTGCTTGCTATAATTATGGTCATTTTTTCCATAAAAATATGGATTGTTTTATTATTTGGATTTTAAAAATTTTAAATTTAAAATTTTCAAAACTTACCTTTGTTGTTGATCCTTGATTGAACAACTATTATTTAATTTTAGCCAAAACTTTTGCACGTCTTTCATTATTCTGAAATAATGCACGAATTAAATGTTTTACTTCATCCGGTTTAAGATAAGTAGCTAATAATCCATTACCATCAGACCAACGATTTAAAATTTCCAATAATGATGACTATTTTTTTAAAAAACGTAAAGAGGATAATACAAAAGAGTAATGTAAGATACAGACAAGAAAAAAACAACAACAATTACCTTTAGTAAAAAATTAATTTCATTCAATTTCATCCATTGATAAATAACATCTTCTGAATCGATTAAAAATAATTTAATCTCTTTACAAAAATAATCAATTTCATTATATAAATGTGATGATCCTAATGAACTAATATCATTCAATGATAATATTGATTCAATAAATTGTTTAAATAATATTTGTAATAATGTTGACATTATTTTATCATAAATTTTCCCAGATAATATTTGATAAAATGAACAATGTAAATAATTTAAATATTTTAAACAATTATTTATTGATTCACGAAATTCAAAATGTGATTGTGAACTAATACGTAAATCAGTACGTGGTGTTTCATTTACAATTTCCATTAATGATTGTTGAAATGTTTCATTTGTTATATGACGATATATGATACGTTCATGATAACGCATTTGATTCATTAATATTTTTGTACCAATATTACGTATGTTTGGTACTAATTCAAATAATGTATCTAAATTTGGACGATTTGTTAATGCGAAACATTCCATTAAATGTCCAAACATTATACAATTATTATGAAATATAGCATTTTCACGTGCATCATTTTCAATTAATGTTCGATATCTATATGGTGATATTGCAATAAATAATTCACATACTAAATATATTGTTTCCGTTAATAATAATGATAAATTTTTTGAACAATTTCGTAATAGTGCTGACATCTCCTAGTAACGAACATAAAATTATAATTTTCAAAAAAAATCGCATGAAACAAAAAAAAATACCTCAAATAAATCCTTCACATCGATCATATAATCACTGATTAAACAATCAGAAAATTTTGATCGATTTCGTAATGAAATATTTTCCAATAATTTTTCCGATGTAATTGTTTGTAATGGTGGTGGTTTGTTTTTCAATAAACGTTTCATTCGTATAATAAAATCTTGACATAATTTTGTTGAAAAATGATTTTGAATATTATCACGATAAGTGCGTAATGTTTCCGATTCACCACCATCATCTTTATCATTATCAATCATTCCTAATGATTTTAATTTCATTTCTAAATGTTTACCTTGTTCTAATTTTTCAAGAAATTCTTGCAATTTTGATTCAGATTTAGGTATAAATCTTTCAAAATAATAATCAATAACATTATGAAATATTTGTTCTGACCATAATTGACCGATGAATTTTTTAAAAATTTCACTTTGTTTCAATTGATTATTCAATGTAAATAGATTCATAATAATTTCGATAAAATTTTCAAGATTTTCAATCACATCATCATCAGCATCAATAAGATGAATTTCATCGTGCAAACTATTGTTCACTTTACAATTGTTTTCCAGTATTTTTCTTATAAAATAATCATTAAATTGATTGAATAAATTTCTAAAATTTATTATAAAATCATATCGTTCTTCAAGTATACAATCAATATATGATTCATATTGTTCGCTTGTCATTGTTCGTAAAAAATCGAAATGAAAAGTTTTATTGTTTAAGGAATCATTTTGAAAATATAAATTTTTCTTAAACAATTGTATCATATCATAAACAAATTCTTCTTTTGTTGTAATGATTTTTAAATTTAATTTTTTCAATGAATTTTCAATTACACTTTTTTGATCATTTTTTATTGGTAATTCATTCGGAAATTTTCCGCTTAATTCAACAAGTTTTTCATATAAATTATTTGCTTCAATAATATTTTTTCTTGCACGATAATATTCCAATTTATTCATTAATTCTTTACATTCATTTAATAAAATTTGTATCCTCTCAAATGATCGTTGATAATCATCCAACAATTGAAATTGATCAAATAAAATTTGTCTTTGTTGACAAATTTTTTGATATTTAAATATTGTTTTAATTTCATTACAACCGATAAATGATTCCAATTCTTCACGTAATTTTCTGGTTTTGTTGATCTTTTCAATCAATTTCGATTTCAATTCATTCGGTTTATCGTCGATTGATGATGATGATGATTGTTTTACCAAATCATTTTTATCAATTTCTTTACGATATTTTTGTATTTTTTCATCAAAATATTCAATAATTTCATTAATATTTGTAAAATTATTGAAAAATTTTTCAATATTATCAAAATCTTTTGATTTATTAATCATCATTATTATCAATTTCGAAAAAAAATAAACAAACAGACAATATACACGTGTAATACAGAAAAGATGATTTCAAAAAAAATGTTTTGCAAATTCTTTGTTCAAAGATCCTGTTCAAAAATGACGATACACGATTCTTCCATCTCATTTTTTATGGGATTTTACAAAGATAAATTTTTTAAAAAGAAAAAATGATTAAAATAAAATTTATTTTTAAATCATTTTATGCCAATTATCATGATTTAGCGAGGAAAAATCATCCAATAATGAAATAATTTTAAGATATTGAGCCAAATGTAATAATTCTTTATCTTTGCTTTTGTTTTTATATGCTTCACGAAATGCTTTGATTTTTAAACCATTCTGTGGATTCATTAGAAAATTACGTCTTAGATCATCAAACATTATTGTATTACGAGCATTATATTGTTGAAATTTTCCCCAAATTACACCCAAAGGTTTAACCTTGTTTTTTAAAAACAAAATTGTTGTTAAAAGTCTCAATTCAATATTCAATATTTACATTGATAACACCATATTTTTCCGTATGAACAGAAATCATGGCCGATGCATCCAAAAAGAATGCAATTTTATAATTAGGATTATTTGTAACACCTAATTCACGCATTTTTACTTCAATCCATTTCATACCGGTAGCCGCTATTATATTTTAACATAAAACTTGATGAAAACAAAAAATCAAATCAAATCGAATCTAATACTTACACCAGATGACAATATCATAATCTTCATAAGCGCTAGTGAGAAATTCATGAAGATAAGGTCGCATCAATTGTGATGCATGTTCGGCTGTTGATCGATGATCTTATTTCAAAAAATAAACAATATTAACTTGAAATAATCAACTTGATTATTACATACCGAAAAGAGTATAATCAATGTCAAGAACTAATAGTTTTTTACCATCTCTTGGTTCATTCATTACATTGATCTTGATATCTTTGATTCGTTTTTCAACTTTAGCTAAATACTCTCCTTTATTATGAATAGCAACCTGATCAAGTGCTTCGTCATCAATATCAAAATCATTGATCACGTTAGGAATGTCTGATGGATCCAAATCAATATTGGCAATCTGTTCTTCTTTGCTACCGATCATCATTACTTTGAATCCTGGTTTCATAACAAGATGTTCAATTTTTGTATCATCATCAACTGTTCGACCTGTTCGAGAAAAAATTATTTCAAACATTCGATTGATTGATTAATTAATTCGACAAACCATTATTTGTTTTAAGACCAATCAATTTTTGACGTTCTGGTTTGACACCAGTTTTTCCATAAATACATTCTTTAAGATTTAAAATAGTAGCAACATCATTCAAATTATCAATAATATATTCATTTCCCGACCATTTTACAACAATTTTTCGTTGATCATTAGTCAAAGATTGTTCCGACATGACAATAGTTCAATAAGATGTTGGATTTAAATTAAGAAAAAAACAAATTTCCTATAACTAATTAATAATAAAAAAATTTCTACAATCATAGAAATTGAAATTTTAAAGTTGTCAATTTGCTTTTGTTTTGAAGATGATCAATTTGGCCGGCCAAATTTAATAACTCACGAAAGCCGTTCGATGGACAGACGTTGTTTGTGAATGTTTTGTTCGAAATGTTTTGATCAATTTCAATTTTAAATTTTGAGTTTTTTAATGAAACGTGTTTGATGATGAAATAAATCCTAATCTTTCGAAGATTAAATGGCAAAACGTAAGAAAAATACAATCAAATATCGTTTCGATGATTGTCAATCTGATTCGGTGGATAATGAAACAAACGATATGAATTCAGAAGAAAGTAAAAAAGATCTGCTCATACCATCATCGTATGAAGAATTTACGAACAAAAGAGCTGCTAAAGAATCACGTTTAAAATATAATCGTTTGACAGAAATTGAAGAAAATTATTTTGAAAATGAAGATCATAAAACTTATTTAAATCTTCGTAATGCTATTCTACGAATATGGCATAATAAACCATCGTTGGGTCTTACGGCTGAAATTATTCGAGCAAAAATCAAAATCACTGATAAAAAGAAATTAGAATTGGCCGAAAAAATCTTAAAATTTCTTGAACGTTATGGTTATGTAAATTTTGGTGTATTTGAAAATACTTTACCAAATGAATGTGTAAACGTAAAGAATCGAGAACGAACAATAATTGTTATTGGAGCCGGTGCTTCAGGATTAGCCGCCGCAAGACAATTAATTTATTTTGGTTTTAATGTTATTGTTTTGGAAGCATCCAAACGTATTGGTGGTCGATGTTATGCATTTTATAAAAATGAAATATTCTTTGATCCGGGTAATATTTTAGTGAATGGTATCAAAGGTAATCCAATACGAACTGTTATGAAACAATTAGGTTTGAATGCCAAACAATTAAAATCCAAACATAAATTATATATGGATGGTGAATTAGTTGATAAGAAAAAAGATCTTGTAATGCATAAAATATTTTTAATCTTTCTTCGTACACTATATTTTCTTGCTATTGAAAATCAAATCACTGAATTTAATAATCAAACACTTTCACCGGAAAATATATTCGATATATTTATCTATTTTTTAGAAACGGCTGCAACAACAAAAGCAAAAGAAAATTGTAATAAAATGTTACGTTTGGAAGAAAATCTTGGTGAAAATTTAAAACCATTAATGGAACAATTTGAATATTTTTTTCGAAATATTGAATTTTTTCGTACAATCAAATATATGAATAGTATTCGATCGAATATTCAAGATCAAACTAATGTCGCTGACGATGATGATGATGATGATTTTGATCGAACAATTATTTTCGATCATACAATATTGAATTATACAAAGAATAGTTGTAGTTTTGCATCCATACTAAAAAGTCATATGGCCTTTTTGGAATGTATAATATTTAATGATATACATAAAAAAATATCAATGAAAAAAAATGATTTACTAAATTCGGATAAATTTAAAGGTTGTAGTGAATTTTTTTCACTCGAAGATATGCGTATATTTGAATGGTATTTTGGTACATTGGAATTTTTTCTTGGTTCTCCCTTATCCGATTATTCATTGGAAAAATTTGCTAATGATGATTTTAATCATTCAAATGAACAATATATTTTACCAGATGGTTATATGAATTTTATGCAAGCAATGTATTCACAATGTTGTTCAATGAAAATTTATAAACGAATGCGTGCACAGAAAATTATTATCAAACAAAAAAGTGTTGAAGTAATTGCCATTAAACAAAATGATAATTCCGAAACAATTACATTCAAAGGTGATGCAATTATCTGTACATTACCATTGGGTGTATTGAAAAAAGCTATTCAAAATGAAAAAAATCCCGAATTCGGTAATAATATTGTTTTCGAACCACCATTACCACAAAGAAAAAAACAAGCAATCGAAAATCTTGGTATTGGTACTGTGAATAAAGTAATACTTGGATTTGAAGATGATTTTTGGCAATCAAAAGATCAATTTTTTGGAAATGTTGCCATGTCACGTGAATGTAGAGGTGAATTTTTAATGAGTTTTTTTAATAGTCCAGTGACAAAAAACAATGATACAGATGATACAAACAAAACAACAACAACAACCATATCGACCGATAGTAAAATGAATAAAAATAAAAAATTACCACAACCAAAACAAAAACCTAAACAAATGTATTCGATAACATCTATATTATGTGGACAAAGTATTGAAACAATTAACCAAATGAATGATTTATTAAATGATAATAATGATACCAATAACAGCAACAACAATGAAGATGTTATTATTGTAAGTAAATGTTATAGTGGTCTGAAAGAAATATTTGAAAATATACCACAATATACTGGTGCATTGGTTACACATTGGGAACGTGAACCATTTTATTTAGGTACACATTCATATCAATCAATTCGTTCGAAATCAAATGATTATGAAATTATTGCCGAACCAATTTCAATAAATTCCAATCATCAAATTCCACGATTATTTTTTGCTGGTGAACATACCAGTATTGAATATCCGGCTACTGTACATGGTGCATTTTTATCTGGTTTACGTGCAGCCACCGAAGTAGCAAATTGTTTTGATCCATTAATTTTATAATGTTTTATTTTTATTTCAATGATAATAATAATTTCAAATTCATTTTGATTTGAATCAATGAAAATGAAAAACAATCATTCTTCAATAATATCAAATCTTTTTTGAAAATTTCCAATCGTTAAATAAGCACTGGTTTTATCTTCACCTTCGGTGTTAATAGCAACACAAAAATAATTACCCGAATCATCACGTTGTGCATCGATTATTTGTAGCCAACTAATCATTGCATAATCAGTACTTTGATTTGTACGAATTTCAAAATGTGTCTCTTCGGATAATATCGGTATTTCAATCAAACCACCAACACCATCATTATTACGTTCAATTCGCCATTCAATCGATGGTAATGGCCATCCAGTTGCTTCACATGAAAAACTAATTGAACTACCAGTATTATTTGTTGTATCTATTGGTGGTGAAATTATTTGTGGTCCTATTTTTGTTTAGAAAAAAACGAAATATCAATTAATAAATCATCAGAAAACTTTTCAAATATGAAATAATCATACGTTGTTTACAAGGTTGATTATCAACTTCAAATAATTTATTACGATTTTTATATCTGGCTTCAGTAAATTGACAACGATTTTCATATGTTATACCATCATTTCCACAAATTGGTTCATTTTTTGTACAATAACAAATTGCTTCTGGTTTATCGGTTGGTTCCTGATCGGTACGAATTAAACATTCAAGATCATCACCACATTTTGGATATTCTGGATAATCATCGGGTAATTGATTTTTAAATTTATTTTCATAACATCTTTCTCCTTCACGTTGTCCACAACCAAAACAACAATCACAATGATCCTTTGACATAAAAAAAATCAAATTTTTGTTAATCAATTTAGTTTGTACAAAAAGTCAACAAGAATTTCAACAAATGAATTAATTTACTTTTACCAAACCAGCAAGACATTCACTATTTGGAACTGGACAATCACTTGGATCGCATTCATCTGCACATACATCATTTTTCATTGAAACTATATTTTCATCTGCATATGCAAACAATACAAATATTAAAATCGATAACAAATTAAAGATGTTCATTTTTTTTGAATCAATTCAGAATTCAAAATTCATTCAATTTTGGCCAAAAATGAGAATTATGAAGTACCAAATTCAAACAACAACTGTATTTAATGTGTTTACCATGCGGAAAACTTTGATCTTATTTTGCATATATGTGTGTTTTTTGGCTTGTGTGTGTGATGTGTATATGTGATATAAATAACATTGGATAAGAAAACTTTCATTATTTCGTTAATATAAACAATCAGGCTCATCATGGGTGTGTTTGTTCATCAGAATATCTCTCGGTTATGTTTTTGTTTATCTTATGCATATAGCCAATTCAACAACAGCAACAACAAATCATTGAACAAAATCAAAAACCAAAAATATCNATAATCATCGGGTAATTGATTTTTAAATTTATTTTCATAACATCTTTCTCCTTCACGTTGTCCACAACCAAAACAACAATCACAATGATCCTTTGAAAAATGATTTTGTTAATCAATTTAGTTTGCACAAAAATTTCAACAAATGAATTAATTTACTTTTACCAAGCCAGCAAGACATTCGCTATTTGGAACTGGACAACCACTTGGATCGCATTCATCTGCACATACATCATTTTTCACTGAAACTTCTGTTATACTTTCGTCTGCATATGCAAACAATACAAAAATTAAAATCGATAACAAATTAAAGATGTTCATTTTTTTTTTTGAATTCAAAATTCAGAATTCATTCAATTTTGGTCAAAAATGAAAATTATTAAGTACCAAATTCAAGCATCAACTGTATTTAATGTGTTTACCATGCGGAAAAACTTTGATCTTATTTTGCATATATGTGTGTTTTTGGCTTGTGTGATGTGTGATGCGTTTGTGATATAAATAACATTGGATAAGAAAAAAGCGAAAACTTTCATTATTTCGTTAATATAAACAATCAGACTCATCATGGGTGTGTTCATCAGAATATCTTTCGGTTATGTTTTTGTTTATCTTATGCATATAGCCAATTCAACAACAGCAACAACAAATCATTGAACAAAATCAAAAAACCAAAAATATCAAATTCAAACCAACCGAAGGGATTCTGTTTGATTTTTTTTCAATGCAAGAAATAGATTGGTTGGCAAAGACAGTTACATTAAACAAAAAATATTAACTTGAAAAAAATGATGGAATTTTGCATTATGAACCGAAAGGATAATTATCGAAAATTGATTGATCGAATCGATTCAAACAAACAAACAACAACCAATCGACAATTAATCATTAAAATCCAAAGGAATGTTACTATCATTTTCGTCGTTATGATCGGGAAAAAAAGGTCAACATTCTCAGATGTTTTTTTTATTGGTTAGCTGTAATAATTTTTCAACTTTATGAAAATTATTATTATCGAAAGAAAGAGAAATGCATTTAACCATCATTTAAACATCATTTTGTTGAAGGGTTTTCCATTTTCATCATAATAATTTCACTTTAGATGATTATTATTAACTAAATAATTAAAGAACTGTAGAATTGGATGGACACTTGAATAATTTTCTCATTTTTAATGATAAACATCATCATGATTTGCCTACGGCATTGAAAAGTTGTTTTTCATCATCATCATCATCAACATAATGATCAGATGCTAGATCAGTTTCTCGAATTGAAATCGCCTGTTGGTAAAGGGGTATATAAAGAGCTGAATTGATTTTGCTGCTGCTGCTGCTGGTCATTTTATTCACTTTAATCAAAAAAAAGCAGGTAAAAAAATGTATCATTCTTCATTTTATCAGGTAATTTTTCACAAAATTTTCATTTGTTCAATTTTTTATACAAAGGTTTTTTTTACACTTATTTTTTTGCAGATTACTTTATTTATGATAAGCTTGTGGACAATCACAGATTCATGGCCAATTATGTCATCTAGATATGAAAAATATCCGGAAAAACGATATCCAGAAATGATTTTCGACAACTATAATCAAAAAAATCAATATTATCAACCAAATTTTGATAGATCATCAAGAATAAATAAAAGAAAATTTCATGAACAAGAATATGAATTGTTGGATCAAGCTGATGATGATGATCAAACTGGTGAAAGTTATTTAAATCGTCCAATTTATAATGAAAATCTAAAAAATTGGTTTGAACCAGAAGCTGAATCAATTGATTCAAGTAAAATTTCAAAAGATTTAATTAATGTTAGATTTATGAGATTAATAAATAAAGATGATTGAAAATTTTTAATGTTTTGTTTTGTTTTTTATTTTATTTACAATGATAATGAACGTAAATTATGGTTATTAGTTGTTGAAGAAAATAAGCCAAAATGTTGCGAAAATGGCAGAATTATAGTTATAAAAAGTAGAATTAATTGTTGACCAAGATCCATTGATAATGAACGAATTTCAGGTTCATCAAATGTAAAATCATTCATTTCATTTGAAAAGGTTTTTCCATACGAAACTAAAGCCGATAATGTTAATAATGGTCGAAATAGTAGAAGCCATATAAAATTACTATATTGACATAAGAATACAATAACATCGAAACGACAATTACAATTAACATTGATTAGATGATTGGTAAATGTTTTGGAAAAACGTTTGGCACCACTGCAAATTATGTTTAATGATGTTAACGGAACAATTATGGTTACATAATGCCAAGACATTTGTCTAATATTCCATGAATCTAATTTATCAATACATAACAATATACCATGTTCATCGATTGTAGAATTATGATTACGTTGATCAAGAAAATAATATTCAAATTGATGTATAGTTGTTAATTGTGTAAGTATTAGATAAATAGTTTGTGGTAATATCCAAATGAAAAATATAAATAAACATATTAGATTTGCACGTTTCGAAATGAATGTTTCATAGATATTTTGAAAACTAAACATAACAAATAAAAATGTTGAGATCATTAATGGTACTGTTTGTTGTATCATACAATGCCATTCAATATCGATAATAGGCCATATTGTTTCATAGAAAAATGATGAAAATAAATATGGTATCCATATTGAAATGAATACATTGACTAGTAAAAGATTTAATAAAAAATTTGTTGAATGTATACATGATGATGATCGATGGTTACGATGATTATCATGTCGAAATAATATATTGAATAAGGTGAAAAAATTCAGAATAAATACGATCAATAAAAAACAGAGACGAAAAAATGGTCCCAAATTTTCTGTAGCCATTATTTAACATTTCGATTTTCAAAATAATCTGTTGAACAGAGATTCAGTGTTTATTCGATCGAAACCAATTGAACATCTAACAAATCCATCTTTAAATGATGGTTTTGTTTCTCTGTTTTGTTCAATGTTTTTTTCTAAATTATTAAAAAAATAAAAAGAGAAACTTAAAACAACAACAAGAAAAGACTTGTTTCAAATCGAAACCAGAAAAAAAATGTAGGTCAGATTTCATTTTCATTTGCCGTTGCCAGATTGTTTCAAACAGACTGACTATTTTGGAAAAATAGTTTCTATTTTTATAAATATCGATCAAAGTTAACTGAAAAGTTAAATAATCTTTCAATCGACAATTATCAATGGATAGCGTGTGTGTGTGTGAGAGAATTTGCTTCGACCAACTATAAACCAACCAAAAACATCATATGTATGATGCTATCTATCTATAGATCCAGTATTAACCCTAAAAGCAGATTGATAAAAATAGAATTCATAATTGTTTTTTTTTTTTTTTTGTAAATTAAAAAAAATCTTTAATTTCAATCGATTAATTGATTGTCAAAATAATTTTTTTTTCAATATAGAAAAAATTCAATAAATTAATTTATAAAGGGGAATGATAGTTGCACATAGAAACCTTATGGTTATTATTATTTTTTTTAGGCTAATAATAATCATATCACAGAAACAAAAAATAATAATTAGCTGTATGAATGAATATTATAATTGAATATCTTCATATTTTTGAAACCACCATATTTGATAAAGATCATCTGGATTACAATCAACAACACGAAGATTATCTGAACTTCTTAAACCTTCGGTTGTTAAACATAGGTTAAAATGTTCATTACGAATTTGTCCACCTTTAGTATGTAGCCATGTTTGCATTTTTTTCTGAATCATTTGTTTTCGTTTATTTTTGTTTGAATGTTTACCAGGGCATTTTGTTAATAAAACACGATGTGTAGCATATTCATCAATAGTTAAACATCCTTCTTCACGTCTTATATAGCCATTTTTCATAAAACTAAACATTTGATTTGTCCATTCATCCAATGGTACATCCATACATTCATAGACACCTAATATGATAATTATATTAAGATGAAAACAAATAACAATCAATAATTATTTATAAAATCATCATACCCATTTCATGTTTTTTTTCTTCAGCCTTGTTAAGATTATCCAAACATAAATTGGTAATTGGATTACGAACAGTACCATATGCAATAACATCTTGATCATAGATATATTTCTTTTCGGTATAAATATTTTCCAAATACCATTGAAATGATTTACAATTTAATCTTTTACGAAGTTCAATTCTAGATGAAACATCAATTTTATTGATTTTTTCTTTAAGATCTTTACGATGTACAAAAAAATATTTAACATAATCATCCATCCAAACTAATGCTGTACGTAATGTATTCATTCCATGGCTATCTTTACCAAGAAATGAATATGGATGATAATCACGAAATATATGGCCAACATGGCTACAAGGATGAATATAAAGTTTTCCACCACATTGCCAAAGACGGAATGATAGTTCAAGATTTTCACCACCCCATATTTCCATCTGTTCATCATAGGCACCGATTTGAAAAAAATATTCTCTATTTATGGCAAACAATCCACCAGCCATTGTTGGTGTTTTAACCACTTTGGTTGGATTATTTTTCAAGCTCATTTCGTCCGTATCGATCCAGATAAAATGACCAGACCAAATAAAACCACCAACTTGAAAATAATAACGATTTCCAGAAACATATTCAAGATCTTGATCGGAAATTATATCAATCACTGGACAAACAACATTAGTTCGATCATCTTTGATCACTTTCATTAATGGTTCTAACCATCCATTAGTGGCTTCACAATGAGAATCTAAGAAAAGAAGTACATCACCTTTTGCTTGTCGTGCACCTGAGGATAATTGATTAAATTTAGTTATCAATGGAGTAAATATCAATAAAATATTCATACCAACAAGTCGAGCACGAATTAAACCTTCACGTTTTGGCAACCGGATAATTTTGACTAAACTTTTGAAATGATAATCTACGTATTGTTGTAATGGTTCAGATAATTCAAATTTATCACTGAAATCATCAACTAAAATGATTTCTTTAAGTAAAATTTTTGGTGTACGATTAACTACAGACCAAATTGTGCGAATCAATGCTGACCAAATTTCATTTGTAAATATTATTATTACGGACACATCACCTAAATCATCAATATCGTAATGAACTTGAGCACATTCAAAAGGTCTGGGATCAGGTAAAGATCTGTTAGGACTATTACAAAAAAACTATGAATAAATTGAAATTAATGTCAATAAAAAGCAACCTGAGACGATCACTAATGTAAACATTAAAAGCTGCTGATGAAAATGTTTTTTCCGATAATTTCTTTTCCTCCGGGCTCAATTGAACACCGTGACCATTTTGTCCCCACGATTGAATAACTGGATTCAATTTTTCATATAAATCACCATATTTTAAGGGTTTAATTTTATTGGAATGTAATTCATTATTAGTTAGATAAAATTTTTTCCAAATAGTAAAATAACATATAATTGTCAAAATTGTTATCAGACGACAAATAAATGTTTTATTCTTGTGTATTCGAGCGAATACAAATCGCCAAATTTTGACCATTTCGTCGTCGTCGAAATAATGATGAACATTACAAATTCATATTTTTTTTTTATTTACAGATTAATAAAATACTTTCAAAAGTTTGATCTGATAAACAAAAAAGAAAATTCTATACACGTGTTAAAGAATAGAATGTTCTAATTCAATTTGATAACGCCATCTTGTATTCTTATTTAAAAATCGATTGACCAAAATGGTCATCTGGTTTTTTCTGTTGTTGTTGTCAATTTGAGCCGATTAATCAATTGATTTTATTTATTAATCATCAATCAAATTAACAATGGAAAATCTTAATACAATTAATTCTGCTTTGAAAGCAGTTAGTTTAGTTCGTTCGGCAACACTTGATACATTAAAATTTATGGCCAATACATATCAATCATCCAAAGATGTTGAAGCTGAAATGGATCCAAATAAAAACAATAGTTATATGGGCGAATTATCATCATTATCGAATGTTTTGGAAACTAGAGTTCGTGAATTGGAAACTGCTTGTACATTACTTTATCCAACGCTTAGTTCGATTAATTTAGCCAACACTGAATTGATTGCTCAAGATCCAAATTATGAAAAGACAACTTGGTATCCCGATATGGTTATATCATATCGATGGTTAAGCAATACTCAAGAATATTCAACATTAGCATTTCAAGCTTTACAAACAAAATTTAGTAAACGAAATTCTCGTTATAGACAGCGAACATCGAATCGTGTTATTCAAAATCATAATTTAAATAATCATTCTATCGATATATTCATTGGACAATTACAACGATCTTTTGATACAATGCCCATCGAAGTTGTTCGACCATTCGGTGTATTTACCGTACTTAAAATTGTTTTAGATCGAACTTTAAGAGCTGTTATTGTTCTACGTGGATTGGTCATCGAATGGGTATTGGTTAAAAGTTTTGAAGAAAATTTTGAAAAATTAACATCAAATAATCTGGCTAAAATATCTGAAAGAAATCCATATGCAACAAATTTTATCGATCTCATACAGGATGATACAATGGACATTTGGAAACCATCAAGATATAAAGTATTTCGTACAATTACTGATCATTGTAATGCAGCCATTTTACATTTTTATGCACCATTTCAAATGGATAGTGCTATCAAATATTTTCTGGTAAGTTTAAATTATTGTTTTTTTTAAACAATTTTCATCCATTTAAATTCTTTCCAAAATTATAGCAATGGTTACGAAGTTATTCAACATTATTTTCAGCTGTATGTCGTAAATGTGATTCACGATTGTTAAATGATATGCCACCAACTTGGCATGATTTTCGTACACATGAACCATATCATTTTGAATGTAGACCATATTAATGATAATTTCTTTTTTTAAAAGATTATTACAATCTTTTAAATATTGTAAATCAAGATTTGTATTTGTAATTTTTTTTTCTTCAATAAATTATCAAAATCGAACGAATAATTATTTATCAAATAATCGCGTCGATAGACGGCAGCATTGATTTTTTTGGTTGGTGGTGGGGGGAGGGTTATACAGGATTTCACGTGTTTCTTCGGCCATCTGTATTATTACACACACACACACACACATTCAAGAACTGCATGGATAATAATAATTTATGTGCGCTCACATTACAGCAGCAGCGGTGTTTGTTGTTATAAGAACTTCTTCATTTTTTTAATTTCCATGCATGAATTGATTTGGAAAGACAAGAAAAGAAAAATAAAAATCATCATTTTAACACCTGAACCACCTGAATTATTTTGTTAAAATTCTTTTAAATTAAATTTATTAAATTACATCGAATAAAAAGGACAACGCCGAATAACAAACAATGGATGAACTGAATGAATTTAATCAATTATTAAACAATCTTCTCAGTACTGAAACTGAATTTCGACAAAAATCTGAAAAAATCTATGAAGCAATTCCGTTAAAGGATAAAATTCGTCTATTATTTATGGCCATATCGGATGATACCAAATCGGAAGAGACACGTCATTTGGCAGCCATTTTAATGCGTCGTATTCTATTCAAATCAACCATGGAAGAATTATCCAAAGATATGGATGAAAATTATTTCAAACAATTAAAAGAATCTATACTTGCTCTTGTACAAAAGGATACAATTTCGATGATGTTACGAAAGAAAATTTGTGATATCATTTCGGAATTGGTTACAAAATTCATTGATGATGATGGTAATAATCATTGGCCAGAATTATTGAATTTTATGTTCACAGCAGCCAATTCATCCAATCTTGAATTGAAAGAATGTTCATTAATTATTTTGAAGTAAGTTATTTTTTGTTTTTGTTTTTGATCATCGTTTTTAATTTATTTTTTCCAAACACTCACAGTACTTATCCGAATATTTTCGCTAAAGAACAGAATAAATATTTGGATTTTATCAAAAAAATGTTATTGAAATGTTTGATGGAAGAATCAAATGAACAGGTTAAATTGGCCGCATTGAAAGCAACAATTTCATTTATATTGGGAAACAGTGAAGATAAAACTATTATCAAAATTATGAGCGATACAATTTTGCCAATGTTACAGATAACGAATGCAGTCATTGAAAATGATGATAATCAACCATTACTTTCATTGATTGAATTGACTGAAAAATGTCCACAAATATTGCGACCAAATTTTAATCTTTTAATGGAAATTTGTATGAAAATTATAACCAACAAAGATTGTTCGGAAAATTTACGACATTCGGCCATTGAATTAGTGGTGAGTTTTGCTGAAAATGCAGCCGGTACATTTAGAAAACGTGGTTCATCATATTTGATTCCATTGGTTTCACAATTTTTAATGATGATGACCGATTTGGAATATGATGATGGTTGGTCACAACGTGAAGATGATAATGATGATGAAGAAGATTCAAATAGTGATCATATTATTGGCGAAACAGCATTGGATCGATTAGCCTGTGCACTTGGTGGTAAAATTGTTTTTCCATTGGCCATCAATATTATATCACAAATGTTACAGAATGCTGATTGGAAACAACGTTATGCTGCATTAATGGCCATTTCAGCATTAGGCGAAGGTTGTAATAAACAAATGTTACCAATGTTGGAACAAATTGTTACAGCTATTTTACCATTCATTGGTGATACACATCCACGTGTTCGTTATGCTGTTTGTATTGCAATGGGTCAGATGGCATCGGATTTTGCACCAATTTTTCAACAACAATTTCATGATAAATTCATTCCAAATCTTTTACTTTTATTGGATGATAATCAAAATCCTCGTGTACAATCAAATGCTGCAGCTGCATTTGTAAATTTTTTCGAAGAAGCTAAACAGAAAATAATTTTACCATATTTAAATGTTATTGTTGATAAATTTGAACAGGTTTTAAAACTTAAAATTGATGAGGTATGTTGTTGTTGTGAAAATCAATTCTATCCATATATAATAATTTTTCAAATTGAAAATAGCTAATGAAAAATGGAAACAAAAAACTTGTTTTAGAACAAATTGTGATATCGATTGCATCGTTGGCTGATTTAACACAAGAATTATTTATTAATTATTATGATAGATTTATGCCTTATCTAAAATTTATTATTGAAAATGCTAATCATAAAGATCTTCGTTTATTACGTGGTAAAGCTATTGAATGTGCCAGTTTGATTGGATTAGCAGTAGGCAGTGAAAAGGTATTTGATGATTGTGATTTATGTTTTTCATTGGTTAATAATAATGGCTATATTTTAATTTTTTTTTTAGTTCTGTAATGATGCCTCTCAAATTATGAATCTATTATTAAGAACACAAACTGGTGAAGTTATTCTTGAAGATGATGATCCACAGGTAAATTGAATTTTTTTTGATTGTTTACAATTTTTATTTAATAAATAATGATTGATTTAATATAGTTATCCTATATGATTACATCATGGGTAAGAATATGTAAACTTTTGGGTCCAAAATTTGAACCATATTTACCAATGGTAATGCCACAAGTATTGAAAACAGCATCAACAAAAATTGAAATGGCATTGATTGAAGGTGATGTAGATTCATCATGTGAAAATAATAGTGATTGGAAATTTTTCAATCTAAATGATCAACAAAATTTTGGTATCAAAGTATCATGTTTAGAAGATAAAGCAACCGCTTGTGAAATGTTAGTCTGTTATGCACGTGAATTGAAACATGGTTTTGTGAATTATCTGGAAGAAACTGTTCTAATTCTTGTACCAGCACTTCGTTATTATCTTCATGATGGTGTAAGAACGGCTGCTGCACAAAGTTTACCATTTTTATTGGATTGTGCAAAAATTCGTGGTGATAATTATGTTTATGAATTATGGCATTATATATTACCACATCTGATGTATGTATTGGATCAGGAAAGTGAAAGTGATGTTCTTGCTGAATTACTTATATCATTGGCCGATTGTATAACAACATTAGGAATGAATGCATTCAATGAACAACAGATGGAAGATTTGATTAAAAAATTAGATTTTCATTTTAATGAACATTTTGAACGTTCAAAAGAACGGCAAGAAAAACGACATGATGAAGATTATGATGATGGTGTTGAAGAAATTCTTAATGATGAAGATGATGATGATGTTTATATTTTAACCAAATTGGTTGATGTATTACATTCATTGTTTGTTTCTTATAATGAAAAATTTTTACCATATTTTAATCATTTATTCAAACATATCATAAATCTGGCTGTAAGTATATTATTATTTGATTTTGAATTTTTTAAACTAATCTTTTGATTTCATCAATTCAAAACAAAAGAAACCGGAATCACCTGTAAGCTATCAACAATGGGCCATATGTGTTATTGATGATTTAATCGAATTTACTGGTGTTAAATCGATTGATTATAAAGATTTTTATCTACCATTATTGATGAATAATTTGAAAAATCCACATAGTGAATTACGGCAAGCTGCTGCATATGGTATTGGTGTTCTGGCCAAACATGGTGGTAAAACATTTGAACAATTTCTTGCCGATAATATACCGACATTAGTTGCCATAATACAAGATTCGAATAGTCGTAATGCAGAAAATATTTATGCTACTGAGAATGCTATTTCAGCTGTAACAAAAATTATTGAATTTAATGGTGGAATGGTATGTGTTTTTTTTTGTTGAAAATTGTCAAATAAAAATCTCATAAATCATTTTTCCAAATAGGCCGGTATCGATACATTATTACCATGTTGGCTTAGTTGGCTACCAATCTGGGAAGATGAAGAAGAAGTTATATATGTTTATAGTTTTCTATATCAATTATTGGAAAGAAATCATCCACAAATTCTTGGTGTTGATAATTGTAATGTACCACGTATCGTATCGATAATATTGGAAGTGTTTGCACGTAATGTAATTGAACATACTAGTGAACTTGGACAAAAACTTATTGCTTATATAAAATTTGTAAATGTAAGTTTTTTGTTTTTACAAAAAATGAAACTTTTTATAAATATTAATCATCTTTTATTATAGCTCGACAAATCGATAACGAATACATTTTCAGCTGAACAGCAACAAGTTTTGGAACAGATTGCTAATCTGTGAAAAAAAAACATAAATAATAATATTTTGGTCTTAAAAAATTTTTCGATAATCATTTTGTCCGTTTAAAAAAGAAATGAAATAGTAAAATGATTTAAAATTTATATCTTTATTTTGTGTTTGTGTGTGTGTGTGTTTAAATTATAATGAATAAAAATAAAACAATATTGAATTTTAATTCGAATTGAATTTTGATTTTTTGGTTTTTTGGTTGTTCATTCAATTTGATCATTGCACGATTTCAGTTGTAATCAATTGAAATCATTTGTATTCATCCATCCATACATGACCATTAATGATTGTCGTGCATTTTTTTCTTGATTATTTACGAATAATGATCATGATCATTATTGTCGTTGTAATTGTGTTTATTTGTCAAATAATGATTCCTGTTTACATTAAAAAAATAGCTAAATTTTTCAAATTGATAAATAAATAATGTTCTGGATTGTCAAATCGTGATTTTAACTAAAATGATTGAATTATTCAATTTAAAAAAAATTGAATAATAGATTGATGATTATTAACGAAATCTTTATATCCTATCTATCTATCCATGATACAAAAAATGGTGGACACGATTATCAATCAAATCATCATTATCTATTCTATTCTATTCTAGTTAATGTAGTTATAATTTGGAAATGATTTTAAAATTTGTTACCACTTATCGTAATGTTGTTGAGGACGATATAATGACAATGATATGGAAAAATGTCTGATTTCCAAAGAAAAAAGGATTCATCTAAAAAAAAATATTGTTGTTGTGATCATCAATAATTATTGAGAGTTTTCTAGTGAATCAAAAAAAAAAATTACATTAGATCACATGTACCAATCATCTTATACTTATCTATAGATGAGTGAAAATATTAATTAACTTAGATACAAGATCAAATTTAGAATTTAGATTTTTTTTTTGAAATAATATTTGGGAAACTAGAAAGAAATAAAAATGGATTAACGATCTTGTCTCAATCATCATTCCTATCTAATTAATGAATGAAAATTTATAAATATTTATAACGCAATAAAATGTTTGCTATATATAAATCTCAAAATTCTAAGTTTTAAATTTCTTTCTTTCTTATTTTATAAGCCATCATCATTATTGTGAATTGATCATATATATAAAAAAAAATGAATGATTCAAATGAAAATGATAAATCTAAAATAAGTATCGCTTTCGATGCTTACGACAGTGCTATAGCTGGAGTTCGAAGTCAGACTAGATTCAAATTCATTCCGGAAACACATCTTAATTCGCAAACAGTTGAAACATTAGTTAAAATCAAAATTCATCATCTTTATGATCATACTGTTGTGGGCGCCCTCTAAGAGTCCAATTATCAAATAACTTTTATTCACTTGTTGCAACATTATAATGTGCTCAAGGTATTTCACAACTTTTAAAATTGATAATTGATAATTATTGATAGCACTGAGAAAAAAGTCTGATAAGGATTCTGGAATAACTCCTTCAAAAAAAACATGTAAATGTGTTAGAGATTGGCTTGCAATCCTCAAAAAAATTGACGTATAAAAACCACACTTTTCTCTCAGTGAGTATACATACAACGTTTTTAAAAATTCTTAGTGTCATCATTTCATCAGCCAACATTATTAGATAGACCAAAAATGAACGATTCAAATGAAAGTGAAAAAATGAATGAAAATGAAGATGAAAAAATGAATGAAAATGAAGATGAAAGTGAAAAGAAAGATTTTGTTGGAAAATCTTTAGAAAGTGTTTTGGGAGGAATCAAGGGTCAATCCCGATTCGCTTTTATTACAAAAAAAAATTTTAGTAGAGAAACTGTTGCTGGAATCCGTGATATGAATTTAGGATCTATCAAGAATGGAAAACCAATTGGTAAGTAATTGATTTGATTAATATTTATAATGGAATCAAAAAAATTTTGATTTTTTTTTATTGTTTCAAGGAAAACCGGTTATTCGTTTCGATAAAGGATTACCATCCAAAACTACACTTAACAATCTATCACCTGGCCAACCAATCCCACCAAGCAAACCACATATAAATATTGATCCAAAAGGATTTTCAAGTGCTAAAAATCCACATATCTATGTGAATGAAACAGTTATTAATGGTGCACAAACATTTCAGAAAATTTGTGAATACGCTGGACCAGTTTTGACTGTTGGCGCAGTGGCTATCGAAGCTTGGAGATTAAAGTCAGCTTTTTCAGATGATCTGGAAATTAAAAATAATAAAGATGAAATTATTAAAGAATTAAAAGATGCTATCAGGCAATTGAAAAACGATTTGAAAACCGAAACTGATGAAGAGACAAAAAAATTGATTGAAAAGAAACTAGAAGAATGTCGAAAATGTCTAAAAGAGATGAAACGAAATTTTCCAAAGACAGTGAAAAAAGGAGCTGAAATTGCTGGTGGCTGGACAGGTGGATTTGCTGCCGGTACCGCTGGTTCATCAGCTGGTTTTCAAATTGGCGCAACGGTTGGTACATTTGTTGGTCCTGCTGGAACTGTTGTAGGAGGAATAGCTGGCGCATTAATTGGAGCTATCGGAGCAGGAATAGCAGGCGGTTATGGTGGAACTTGTGCCGCTGGATATTTAGCCGAAAAAGGTATGGAATATTTTGATAGTGATGAAGATGATGAAGAAGATGAAAATGAAAACGAAAAAAATAAAGACGATGCAGATGAAGAAGATAAAAAAGAAAACGATAAAAATGAAGACGATGAAGAGAAAAAGGATATTTGATTAAATCGATGATGATCGAATTGATACTATCGAGAAAATTGCAATAAAAAATTAAAAAATTATAATGTTCATTGTTATAATAAAAATTATTTTTATTTATTGAATTCTGTTCATTATTGATTAAAATCAAGCTATACAACCTACATACAGCAATTGATATTAGTAAATTTTTTGTTTTGTTTTGTTTGCCAGACATAAAACATATTAATTTTTTCCATTCAATTTATCATTTTTTTTGTTTCGTGCTTTCTTTCTTTCTTTCTATGAGGAAATTTCAAAATCCTAATGATGATGTTTTCGTTGTTGTTGTTGTAATACAAGTTGATGACCGCCACTAACAACAATTTTTTTTTTAATTAATCTAATTAAACATTCACAGTTAATAGGTTAGGTACTTTATTTTGATTAAAAAGGGAGAGAGAGAGAGTGAAAGATAATTTCATATGAAAATAGTTTCGTTTGAAACGAAACAAAAAACCATAATAATAAAACCATCCACCACTGTTAAGTATAATAACAACAACAACAAAGAATAAAATTGAACAAGTCATAGTGATAAATGGTTTTTAGTAACACACACAGACACACAGGGAGAGAGAAAAAGAATGATAACAAAGTGCATTCTATTCAAGTTGATTAAATTATTATATTTGATTAGGCACATTTTATATATTATATTGTGGTTTTTTAAAAACATTACTTACCACAATAATAGTTGTGATGGGGATATAATAATATTGTTGTGCAACCAGAAGAATACAGAATCCATGCACGTACGTTACATTCATTTATCCGAATAGCGAAGGGGAGAGAGAGAGAAATAGTGGGCAAAAAAAACGAATAAAAACCGTATAATTTTTTCTTTTTAATTGGCATTAAACAATTACAATTACACAGACAATTGAATAAATTGATCGGAATAACAGAGAGAGAAAGAGATAAAATACAGTTATTATTTGCATTTAGAATTGCATTCATTCAGGTAACAAAAAAAAATGGTTCATCACAGAATCGATTTCATTCACTTTAGTTTTTTTTTCTTCTTCAAAATATCTCTAGTTCTGTTCGAATAACACAACCAAGCGAATAACTATGTTTTTTGTTTCAACATTTTTTTCTAGTATTTTGAAAATGAATTTGAAATGAATAAATAATTACTCTGGAGATTTAATTCTGGCCAAAAAGAATTGAAACGAATTAAATACACACACACACACACAATATATGCCGTGCGTGAGTGACTTTTTGCCACATGATGATGATGATTATGATGAACAACAACTGATTTGATCGATCAAAATTGCCCATCATTTTCGTTTTTAATTTCTCGATTCATTAAAAGGAAATTATTACTGTTACTGTTATTGAAAAAAACATTTTTTTTCAAAATGAATCTCAAGTGATTGTTTTTTATTGCCAGGTAAAAAACAAAACAAAATTATTGCACTAACAAGGTATTCTTTCTTTCTTTTAGTTGTTGTTGTTGTTGTTGAAAGTTTTAGTAATGATTACAATCATGATTATTATTATAATGATGGCTATTTTGTTAATTTAAATAATAATAATAATAATAATAATAATCTATTATACACAAGTTACACTGTTTGTCTGTTTGTAAGTAAAAATAAAAATAATAATAACACTATTCACTATGGCGCCCGGCAAATTTGGCTCTCAAAATATCAGTTTGCTTGCTGCTGTCATCAAACCAAAATATTCATTATTATATAATAATGACCAATGATAGTTATGATGATAAACATTGTTTAGTATGCAAACAATGTTTTTATTCGTTCAGTATTGCAGGTATTTTCGTTTTTTTAATGGCATTATTTTCAAATCCACGATGAATCATATAATGAATGGATGAATATCTGGTGTGCAATGATGTGTGTAGCGGCTATGGCCAGATATTAAATTGTTTTTTATAAACGAATTCAACTAACTTATCGATTGAATATGTGTCCAGAGGTAAATGAAACATTTTTTTTCATCTGTTTTTCCGAATAAAATCAATTGATTTGTAATCGATTATTTTCAAAGGAAATTTTTGTAAATCTAATTCAATTTATTTAATTCAATTATTATTAATAATATTCATTGTTTAATTGAATTTTTTTTGTTTGTTTTAAAGACAGAGAAATTCCAGGTATGTGTATATATTTGTCATAAATGAATTTTTCATTTTCAATACAGCTAATTAATAAATATGTAGTTGTTTGTTTAATATGCAAATAATGTTTATGTTTCTCTCATATATCATCATCATCATCACGGTTATTTGGTGCTTTTTTTTGGATAATTTCAGTTTGTAATAAGTTTTTGTTTTGTTTTGTTTTTTATACAATGTTTATGATTTCAAGAAAAGAATTATTATTATTATGATAAACATATTATGAAAATTATGACATAATTATCGTTGTTGTTATTGAGAATAATGTACACAAATACAGAATATATACATTACACATATATGTACATTACATCTTTTAGATGCATTTTTTTTTCGTTTTTCTTTTGTTAATGATGATGATAACATTGTTTGACAAATAAGACTAGATAAATCGATAGTGAAATGATGATAAAAGATTTATATGAATGAATGTCAATCGAATGGATAAATGATAGTAATGAGATCATGTGATCCAATATTTTTTTTTTCCTATAAATTTTTGTTTTTTTTTCAACATAATGTACTGGCTGTTATCGATGGAAATGTTGTTGTTGTTGCTGTTGCTGTTGCTGTTGATGATGATGATGATGATAATGATCTTTCCATTGATGGTGATGTTGTTGTTGTTGCTGCTGCTGTCGATGTTGATGTTATTATTGATGTTGAAGAACCTGTACTATGACCACCACCACCACCTCCATGATCATGATTAAGATGATGTTGATGATGATTTCCCCATGGTTGAAGATTTTGTAATGCATGTAATGAAGATGCATTCAATAATAATTGATGTTGTGAATGTGGATGATGATGATGCGGATGATGATGATGAAGATCACGTTGTTGGGAAAATGCTGCAGCAGCTGCTGCTGCTGCTGCTATTGATATTTGGCCCATTTGTTGTTGAGATGCACAAACAACAGCAGAATTAATTGGTGATGATGCGGGTCCATGATGTTGATGTTGATGTTGTTGTTGTTGATGATGATGATGATGTAATGCAAGATCAACAGCCATTTCATTTGTTAATGTTTGATGATTATTCGTATTGGCATATAATGATTTTGATACAACTTCAGCTTGTAAACTCATCATTAATCGATTTGCAGCTTGTCGTTCGGCTTCACGTTCTTCGGCTGTTTGTCGTCTATATTATATTATATTGAAGTTGTCGGAATACAATTGCGAAAAAAAATCAAAGAAAAGAAAAAAAAAACAAGAAAAAAATTACCATATTGAAGAGTTTTCGGCATTTAAAAAAAATCGAAAATCCAAAATCCAAAAACGACAAAGATAATGACACATAACAAGTTAAATACTGATCAACAACATTACATTGCTTGCTTATTATCATTATTATTGGTGGTGGTCAACTCAACAGAAAATCGATCGTATCGATTCAAAGAAATACAAGATCGACTGACAAAAGTGGTCAATTATCTCTCAATCGTCGTTGTCTAAATAAACCACCGCCAACACACAAATGACCAAGAAGTAGAAAAAAAATTAAACATTTTAACCCCGATTTAACGAAAAAGGAAACCATGTAATCAAAAGGTGAAAAAAAACATGTTTCAAGGTATGTTGTAAACGAATTTTGATCCAAAAAAAAGGAAAGATTCCAACATTGAAGTAAATCGATCAATTTCTGTTTTAAAATACAGACAATCAATTACAACAACTACTGCTAAATATCCTGTACATTTTACTTTGTAACTAAAAAAAAAATTACGATTATATGATGATGATGGTGGCGGTGGTAAGTAAGTTAAATGTTCTTCAAAGTTTTTAAAAATATGGTAATGATGACCATCATCATCATCATCATCAATGATTTTGGCCCCAGACAGTGGTTAATATGGCGACATTATCATCATCATCATCATCTTCATATACAAACTAAATGAACCGCAATTCACACACACACAGACCCCGCATCACTTATCATTATGTGATGATGATTGTTGATTGTTTGATGGAACGCATGGTAGAAAAATTGGTGCCACACCAATCAGTCAGTCTGTCATTTTAGTCATTCAGTCAGTCAGTCGGCTTTGTGATCAGTCATTTAGAGCCTATCAGTCAATGTTGATGATGATGATGATTGTTATAACATTGGTAAACTTAACTTAAAGAAATTGATATGATTTGAAAATATGGAGAGGGGGAAGGAAAAAACTCAATGGAATAAAACACCTTAAGGCATTTTAGATCAAAAAAATGATGATGATGATCATGATGAAATGTTTTTTTTTTCAGAAAAGATTTAAATTATTTTTCCGTTTCACATAGAAATATCATTTTTTAAAAATAAATATTTTGAAGGTTTGGCTTATTCTCTCTCTCTTAGTCTAATCATCAATTATCATCATCATCATCTTAAATGCTGGCTAATTTAATAAAAATGATAAGTGCTGTTTTGTCGTTGAAAATCAAGAAGGAAAAATCAAAAATCAAGAAGGAAAAAAAAAACGAAAACTAACCTCCATTTTGTACGACGATTCTGGAACCAAGTTTTAACCTGTGCATCAGTCATTTTAAGATTTTTAGCCAATGTTGCACGTTCAGCTGATGCTAAATATTTTTGTTTATGAAAACGTTTTTCCAATTCACATATTTGCATACGTGTAAATGATGTACGTGGTTTTTTACGTTTAGGTGGTGTACGATTTTGATATGGATGACCAATACGACGTGCCGGTAATGTTGGATATTGGCCATTTGTTGTAAATGGAAATGTAACTGAAAAAAAATGTTTTCGGAAGAAAAAAAGCCGATCAATATCAATGAAATCAAGCAGGAAAGGAATCATATAATAATAATCGTTTAGAGGGTAAGAGAGTAATCATTATTATCAGTTTTTTTTTCTCAAAAAAAACATCATCATTTTCAAACAACATTCATATATATTGAATATATATTCAAAAATATATAAATTATTTATATTCAAATTAGCTACAATTTTTGTTTTCGTTTTGTTTATCAAAACGAAAATAATAGCCTTGCTTAAATCTTTTTTTAAAAGATGATTGCACACACACACATTTATTTAAATTACAATTTCTGACTAATTTTTTGCTTGGAAACGACTTAGAGAGAGAGAGAGAGAGCAAATTGTATACGATTCAGTCGATTAATGATAATGATATGGATAACAAGTTAAAATCACCATTTTGTTTTTGTTGTTAAATGAAATCATTTAAAAACACACACTCACACACACACAAACATGAATTCCATTCAATTAAATCTTTATCAATGTGGGGGGAAAAAAGCAAGGAGAGTAAAAAAGAAAGATGTTTCAAAAAAAAAAAAATATTTATTTATCAAAACAAGAAATGATTATCTTAATTTGTTTCGTTTCATTTTTAAATTATCATATTTTTTTTCCATGTTCAATAATAATCATTTCATATCATTTCATTCAATCATTCATTTGAAATGGGCAAAAACTATCTATCTATAAAAATATGGCGTCAAAATGTCGATTATAAATTGCATAATCATTATCCACCTTTTCTCTCTCTCTCTCTCTCTCTCTCTCTCTCTCTTCGATGATGATAATGATGATGATGATTAGTTTGTTCATAGGCCACGATTTTTTATTTTCCTGAATGATGATTATTCGTTTGTTTGATGTTGATGGTTAGGTTGTAGACGATATTCATATATGATATGATCCGGTGATGATAATGATGATTGGAAAAAAAACAACATGATTGACGACAACAACAACCTAGACTAGACACTTATGTCACCTTTTTCTTGATTTACTTTTTTGGTTTTTAGTTTGGTTTGCCAATAAGGAATTGAGCAAAAATCTTTAAAAAAAATATTTGATAATGATAATCGCCCGACATACAGACAGATAGATTGTTGGGTTGTGTTGTCGCCATAAAAGAAATGATTCCTTGAAAGAATTTCTTTTTGCAAATAACTAACGCCCAAACAAACAAAAAATGACTAATGTTATCTTTATGATGATTTTTGCACAAGCAAACACACAAAACATTAATGGTTTTAATTTATATTTTTTTCATTCAAACATTTTTTTGACAGAAATTCTTATTATTATTCTATTTCTGATCATCAAATAATAAGGGGGTTTTGATGATTAGGTTTTTTCAATCTCGAGAAATTTACATTTCATTTGAATATGGAAATCTGTTCGTTTCTCTCATCTATATATCACCAATTTTTGGTTTTTGTTTCAAAAAATTCATTATTCAAATGAATTTCCAAAAACGAAAAAAAAAAAAATTTAAATCGATAGCATATTACACCTGCCCATTATGATCATGGTAAAATGAGTGCAATGAAACAAAAATCAAAAATCAAAAAAAATATAACTTTTCAATAACACCCTCAATGATAAAATATATTTCAAAATGAGATTCTTGTTTTCGAAAATGATGATGATCATCATTATCATTAGGAATGAATGAATGGATTCAATTAGCATATTAATCAATGACAACAACAACAACAAAATTTTGTTTTTTGTTGTTGTTGGAAAGAAAAATGGCTAATAATGAATTTTACACAAAAATGTTTTTTTTTTTGGTAGGAAAAACTAAAATCTTACTTGATAAACTATCTTTAATTGTGAATGGTGTTGATGTATGATGATGATGTGGATGTTGATGTGGATGAGTGGTCAACCATGGATAAGTAGCAACCGTATATGGTGATGATGGTATCGATATTGAATTTGTTGTTGTTGTTGTTGACGATGTTGTTGTTGTTGTTGTTGATGATGAATTATTAGGATGATGATGATGATGATGTAATAATGCCGATGATGGTCTTTGTGCTGGCACTCTTATCACAGAATGTTGTTGTTGATGTAAATCATTTTTTGTTTCATCATCCAAATCATCATTATCATTATCATTGACCGTTATTCCATTGGTTATGGGACTATCCGTATTACGTAATGATGATATTGATGATACAGATGATACGGATGGTGATAATGATCGATCAGATAAACATTGATTATTATTATTATTATTATTCAGATGATGATGATTTTGATGTTGATATGGACTCGCTGTTGTTGTTGTTGTTTGAAAAAATCGATTCAATTGTTGATGATGGTTAGATAGATTTGCCGGTGAATCAATAGATGATCTTTCGGATTTTGGTGAATTTAGCTGATGATGATTTTGATGATTTTCTGATTTGTTATTCGCTGCTGATGATGATGATGATGAACAATGATGATCCAATAAACGACTAATACTAAATGTTAATTTATCATTTTTAACAACAACAGTAGCCGTTGTTGTTGTTGTTGTTGTTTTGATTGATGGTGGCGGTGGTGATATTCTTCCCGGGCCATTATTACCACCATTGAGATGATGATAATTGTTGAATGATAAAGAATCATTATTACCACCACCACCATCAACAACACCAACATCATCATCATCATCAATATCAATATTACTGCTACAATTTGAATTATCACCATTATCATCAATAATATTGTTATTATTAACACTAGATGATGATCTAGATCTAGATGATCTTGATGAATGGGACATTTTTTCAAAACACATTTGAATTTCAATTTTATTTTTCGGAAAAAATGATGATAATAAAGTTAAAGTTGATCAATCAATCAATATTCACAAAACATTCAAATTAAAATTTATTGGTTGTAAATTTGAAAAATTCAAATCATCAATGATCAAATCATCAATTTTAAAAAACGATCATTATCAGCATCATTTTCAAAAAAACTTTTACAAAACCTTTAAACTGAACTTAACGAACACAGAATAAAGACAAAACGTTTAACAAAACAAAACAACAACAGTATTTGAAGAATAGAATAGAAAAAAAAATGATGTGCAAAAGAGAGGTGCGGCTAATAAGAGATACGAGAGAGAGAAATAGTCAATGAAGAAGATGATGATGATCATCATTTTAAACCAAAGAAAAAGAAAACAATTGGCTTACGATACACCCAACGTATTGTTGAATAAAGGTAAATGGAAAACAAATTGACTGTAAGCGAATGTTATACATAAGTGATAAGTGATGATTTGCCCGTTGATTTCTGCTGTTTTGTTTTCAGTTTGTTTGTTTGTTATCATCATGGTGATGATAAAGTACAGAGTTTCATGTGTTATTGTGAATATGAAAAAAAAGGACAGCCCATTCAAGGCGTATACTTATGTTGTTGGAATTGACTGAAAGTTTGTTGCTTGCTTGTTTGTGTGTTAATATTGAAAACAAGTTTAGTTTTCTATGCTGAACATATCTTTACCAATGCAATTTTCGTCGCAAACTGCAGAATGAAACATCTTTTTTTTTACAGAATTTTTTCTCCCAAAAAAACTGAAGCAGAACATATCCAAATGGATCCCAGAATCAAAAAATGATGATGTTTTTGGTAGAAACGATGATGATGATGATGAGATTGGCTATTGAAACAATCGAATATCCATAATGATTATGATAATCACAAGAACAAACATCAATTATTTTAAATGGATACAAACGAAAAACCAATTAAAATATCAAAATGATGATTCCATTTACCATGAACAATCATCATAGGATTTGTGATAATTTCTTCTTATTTAGGAATTGTAGAAGAAACAATTTTAGTAAAAGGTAAATTAAATGTAATTATAGTTGATGTTGTTGTTGTTACCTAAAATAGACAAGTCATGTAGAAATAGTAAAGGAAAGAAAGATAACAGAGCATCCACATCAATGTTTGTTGATAAGAATTTCTTTATTGGTGTTGGTGTAATCGGCCATGCGTTATTTGGCAGTGCGAGAGTCCCAAACTGTGTATCAAGAACCTTTCTAATTTTCAAATTTAACCATTCGTTGCTCTTTTTTTAATTGTTAAAACATTTATATTTTGGATTGGATAGAATCAAGGAATTTTTCATTGAAAAAACAAGCGTGTCAAATGGAATAAAATGGAAAATTAACCAATTTTGGCTTGATGAAGATGAATCTACATGTTTGTTTGTTCGGGTAGAGAGAAAACAATCGAATAATCATTTCCGATTAATCGATCAAGTTTAATTACAGTAACGACTTGCCATGTAGGCCATGTAAACCAGAAACAACCAATTTTAAACATGCAGACATTTGATCATAGAGAATTTATTACAGAGAGAGAGAGAGATTGGGAGAGACTGCTGCAATAATGATATTAATAATAATTTTTGTTACCCGAAAAATTATATAAAAAATTCATTCCACGATCATGTTTTACGTTTTTTTTGGCTTTTTTTGGATTCCGAAAATTGAATAAAATCATTAAAACGAAGCCTTTTCTCTTCTCTTTCTCTGACTGTTTTGTTTTTTTTTTTTTGGAAACTTGAAACAACGACGATAATTATTCAATTTTTATTCATCAACATCGTCATCGTTCAAGAGAAATTAAACTTTCGAAATTCAAATTGAAATTTAAGTTTGTTTTTTTTGTTTGTTGAAAAACATTGCTTTAATAGCCAATTATATTAGTAGGAAAGAAAAGACGAAAAGAAAGAAATCTTTCAGGTGTTTCTATCGATATCTATCTCTACACTAAATCTATCTATCTATTCTATACAAGCAAATTATATAATTCATTAATTGTAAATTACATTCAATGATTACTATTTTGTTTTTTTTTTGTTTTTGTTTTTGTTTCTTGCTTGTTTAACATCATTTTCGTTGTTGAATATATTTTCTAATGGTTTGTTTCAAATGATAATGATAATTGGCTATTTGAAATTTAATGGGGGCTAATTTCTTTTTATTTTATGTTTCTTCATCTATCTTGCATAATCATTATCATTTATTCGACAAGAAAAACATGTTTAGAAATGAAATGAAAGAGAGAGAGAGAAATAAAGATGTGTTTGATTGGCTAAAACAGCATCAATTTAACCATGTTATTCAATCAGTTTTAGTTGCCGGAAAGAAACAAAACAAAACAAATTAACGATCAAATTTTGATAAGAATGAAGGGGGAGAGAAACAAATTTAAATTTTTTGCCAATTTCCAATCTTCCACCATCACCACCACCACCACCACCACCATTACCACCATCAAAACTATATTGATTTGTAAATCAAATCAGCAGAAAATAAAGACAAATTGTTTTTCAAAAAAAAAAACAAAATCATTCTGCTGTTATTGAATGGATAGTGTTTTTTTTTGTAAGTAATTTAATTTAATAAACATGTGAAAAAGACATTATATTTTTATTTTTATTATTGCTTAGTTTGATAATTGGACATTTGGATTTTTTTTTTTTGTTATCTTGATAGTCATCATCAAGTGTGTAATAATAATAATCATCATCATCGTTTCTGGAAAATCGTTACAACAACAACAGGGAGAGAGAGAAATTCAATTTTACCAGATCCTTTAATTCATTCATGATGATCATCATCATCATCAACATAATGATTACATGGAACATACACGCAAACTATAGGGACTAGTTAGTTTATTTTATTTTCAAAAAAAAAAACATAGAATTAACAAACGAAAAGACTTGGAAGGCTGACTGATTGACTGACACACGTTTCTGGATCGTGTGTGTGTGTGTGTGTGGATCATTGTTTTTATGGATGATGTTTAGAAACAAAACAAAACAAGGAAAGAAAAATCCCAATACACTATACACACGCTATATTCCAAACATACACAAAACAAAACTAACGAGAGAAAACATCCAGAAAAACCAAACCAAACCTATTCTATTCATATTTTTATCAAATATGAGCGAAATACCATTGAGATTTACTTTTTTTGTTTTTTTGTTTTTCTCATCTCATCATTCACACAGAATTTGGAACTTGTTGTTTGAAAATTGATAAATCGGAATAGTTAATCAAGATATAAACAAGGAGAAAAATTCAACAAAAAATTAAAATAAACGAGATTCAGGGAACATCAACAGTGAACTAGACTAACTGAATGACTTTTGGGATTTGTAAGCCTCGTGTATCAATGTGCATTTGAACATTCATTCATTCATTCATTGATGTAAAACGCGTGCGTGTAGATAAAATGAATAAAATGGAAAAAGGTTCCAGAAACAACAGCAAACAAACTTGATAATTTAATTGAAAAAAACTAAAAATTGTTTTTTTTCAGCTGTCACACATAAATAAAACGAATCAAATCAAATCAAATTCTTGAACAATTTCCAGAATAAAATGTTTTGTTGTCCTGTTGATAATGATAATTCGTGATCGAAAAAAAATCATCATCAAGATTATTGTTGTTGAACAATAATTTTTCTTACAAGCTATTAAATGGTGATTAGGATGATGATAATGGCAGAAAAAAGGACCTTGATCCTGATGATAATCAATATTCAATGATGATGATGATCATCTATGGGGTGATCATTTACATATGGACCAAAATAAAAAAACAATCTTATTTAACATATTTAAAATTTGATGAATTTATCATTATCATCATCATTTGAAAATCACGATTTTTATAATGTTTATCATCATCATGATGATTATTATTATTATTTGTTTTCTGTTTAAACAAAATGAAAACAAAACATCGAAAAAGACGAAGAAATGGAGTCACGAGTCAAGAATAGTTGTTGTTTTGCATTCAATCAATCAATCAATCAATGAATTGAATCAATGAATGATCCATTTTTGTGTGTATTTTTCGACCATTGCAGTGGCCAAAAAATGACAAAGACTACGATGACGACTATGATAATGACAATGAACAAATCGTAACAAGAAAAATCGATCCAATCAAATGATGATGATGATGATGATGATAATAATGATTGACATTGTGTATTACATTACCTAAAATGCTAATAATAATGAAAAAAAACAGGACATGAATGTTTGTTGTTGTTGTTGTAAGATACAATTATTTTGTTGTCGTTGTTGTTGTTTCTTTCTTTCTACAATAAGTTAACTTTGTAATTAAGCTAAATTGAATGGTTAGAGTTGAAGAAAAGCGGCTAATCATAATAATAATAACATAAAGACAACTGACAACTTTTTTGGTTTGTGGACAACAACCACGAATGAATGAATAATTAGCTTGCGGCTATCTTACGTATCAAATCATCATTGTGAATCCATTTTTGGTTTTTTAAAAAAAATCATTTGATCAACACACACACACTTTTGATCAACTAATTGAAACTATTGAAGTTTTTTAAAATAATTAGTCGAGAATTTTTCTCAGGAATTAAATATCTTTTTCGGAAAAATTTCCCAAATTTAGGAAAAAAAAATTCTCAATCAATTTTATTTGATGATGATGTTTAAACAACGACAGAAATCAAAAGACTCTATATCTTTTCTTTTATTTGAAAATAATCAATGTTTCTCTCTCACTCTACCTGGCCAGATGCCTATATATTTGTATTTGATTTATTTTTGAAATTTGAGAAATTCTCGAACGAAGAAACTAATACATCCTACAATTATTTATGATTATCATCATCATCATCATCATTAAACAACAGCAACCATGATTTCTTTTTGGAAAAAACGCAAAAACGTTTCTTTGTTCAAATCAATAAAGAAGAAGAAGAAAAAATGTTTTGGCCACGATCTTGTATACAC